GCGGCAGCCAGTTGCGCACAGCAGTGTCCCTTAAACAGCCATGGACCGAGCGAGCGAGCGAGCGAGTTTTATTTTATTTGGAGAGATTGTTGGCCAGGACACTGGGAGAGATGAAACACCCTTCATCTACCCAGAGTGGGTTTTTGGGGAAGATAAACACCACAAGGAGGAAGAAATGGCAGCGGAGACGATCGAAACCCATTAGGCAGATGAGCCTCGGAGCGACAGATGGGATTTAACTGGAGATAAATACAGATCGCAACGAGAAACAGTAAATATGTGTACACACTGGGGCGAGATTAGCAGAGGAGCAGGAGACAAAAGGCTTTGATGTAATTACTGATCTTCAGCTCAAGGCTCTGACTCAACGGGAAGCTGCCGTTAAAGGTGATCAAAACCTGATTCATGCGGGAGGGTGTGGGGGGGTGGGGGAGAAAGAGGGTAAGGATATCAGGACCTAAGTCAAAGGATGATCAGTGTATACGACAGGGTGCTCAGAACAGACTCGATCAGATCTGCTGACAATTCAGTCACAGTCTAAGCTCACATTCCAGCGCGGTGGTTGGAGGAGGTCGGGGGGAGGGGGAGGGAGTGCAGAAAGGGAGCTCCACATTGTAGGAGATGCCGCCCTTTTCAGTTGCGATCTTACATCCTACGTCCCGGTCTGCGCCCCCTTTAGGCGCTCGTTAAAAGATTATTCATTGTAAAAAAAAATTGTGATTCACTTTGACGTTGGTGTGCTGCCACATTTGCTTACAAAACACAGTCACTACACTTTACAGGAAAACCTGTTTTGAGACGTCTTTCCAATGTGAAAGGCACTGCATCAAATGCAAAGGTTATTGATTATTATTATTATGAATGCTACTTCGTCCAATTAGAATTCCACCTCATCGTAACCTGAACAACTTTATTTTTTTGGTGTCAGATTCGAACATGAAGCAGAAAAATCTTCAAAGCAATTAACAGCCACAGGAGCGATTTTAAAACGTAAAAAAAGAGACAAGAAGTTGATTGAACGAGCTCTCTTAGCCCCCTTTACCAACCAGCCCGCTCCCTCTGCTTCATGTCCCCCACCTCGCCCGCCCCACCATTGGTGGACGGGCCTTCAGCCACTCTGCCCCCACCCTCTGGAACTCCACCCCGCAGTCTCTCCATCTCACCCCCTCCCTCGCCTCCTTCAAGACCCGTCTCAAAACCCTCCTCTTCGGCCGTGCTTTTGATCTCCCTGCTTCTCCCCTCCCTGCCCTCCACCCTCTCAGATCCCTGATCCCCCAGCTCAGGTCTGAAACACTGACAGTCCAGCGCCTTGGGATGTCCTCCTGATGTGAAAGGCGCTACACAAATGTAATGTTGTTAGTGTTGTTCGTAAACATTCGACACTGGTTTAAATAAGCCTAGCAGATGGCCGTCGTCAATCTCTCCATTATTTAAGGCCAATCGGGATAATTATCCAGCTCCTAATCACCCTCCATTAGTCACATCAGAGTGTGGCATTGCTCCGCAGCGAGGAGCACACACCACAATGGGGATGTGCAATTTCTCTCCTGAACTGACACCCTCAGCATCTGATTAGCCACTTATTGATTATTCCTTAAACGGGGGGGGAAGGAGGGTTGAGGTGGAATCAGTTTCCCAAGGTCCTGGTCCCTGCCTCCGATGATTGTCATGAGGACCGTCGCCGGGGAAACTGGCCAGTAACGTTTCACACGGACTCGGGTTTGGACACATGACAGACAAAGGGCACACGCTTCCAGCTGCTAGGGCACACGTGCGATTCACCCACACGTCTGCCACAGGTTATTTATTTCTTGAAGGGATTATCACCCCCGGAAAGCGATCCGCCGATCGACTAAGAACTGTGTTCCTGCTTACCACTAGGTAATCAGAGGCGTGTGGAGTAAGGAAACTTGCCAAAAATGTTGACCCGCCCGGGAATTGAACCTGGGTCGATGACAACATCAAAATGTCCTCCCGCTCGCTCGCTCGCTCAATGGAGCGGAGAATGTGCTAAATTGGAGCCCTTTGCCTACACCATAGACGAGGAACGAGAGAGAGAGAGAGAAAGAAAAAAACAATCTTGTTAAACACGAAGGCCAAAGCCTCTGCGCTCTAACTCACATGAACCGATTTTCAGCGCCCGGACGTTTGGTGAAATCAGCCATTCACAAGATAATGCCATTTGGAGGTTGTTGCCTTGTGCTTCTCTGTCTCACTCTTTCTTTGTTTCTATCCCACTTTCTCTGTCTCACTCTCTCTCTGTCAAGTTCACTCTTCGAGCTCCAGCCTGTGATCCAAGATCTAAAGATAGGAGCACATTGATTGGGTGGTGGGGGTGCAGGGAGTTGCACATTAGCTACATAACCACTGTTTGTATTGGGAGTCTGATGGATCGTTCCATGGACACAGAGTAAGACCAAGATTCAATCTCCATGAAACTGCTGACGTCTGCCTTACAGTTTGACTACCAACCTCAAACGGTCAGACACCGCTGAATGGATGAAGCTTTCCCTTTGTGCATTCACAGACACGAGGCTTACAGTTCCCTCTCCTAGAGTCACGGTGAATATAATAAAGAGATAAGACACTTCATGGGTACGTCTAGCTCCCAGCAATGGGACAGAGACAAAAGCACCAGTCTTATTGGGTCATTCATCTTATCCGCACTTTAAAGCTGTGACGGAACAATTGAGTAGTCAGAGCGATTGACAAGGGGCCTGACTGGATGATTATTTGATTAGTTTAATACTTTGGGTCCCATTCTACCCACTGCACACTTCGACTCAACGAAGATGATCAGTAATTCAAAGACCTGTCTCATCCCAGGACCTTATTCCCAGTGATTTGGTTCAATTTGGGAGCAGGAATGCCTAATACTTTCTGGAATTAGGTAAGCAGTTGGCGTCCCTCCAGGGAGAGAGTGCGCGTTCCATTCCAACAATCTATCTCTGGGATTTCCATGTGTAGGTGGGACGCCTGGAAATAACAGTTTGGTTTGGAGACTCTTAAGCAACGGTGATGGGTTTCCCCATGTGTCTGACCCCCCCCCAAAAAGAATTCTCAGCAAATCATGTTGCGGATTGCGACAAGATGGGGCGGGTGTACGGGAGGGGGAGAAATTGTACGTGGAGTCCTGTAGCTCAGTGGTGAGAGCCTTGCAAGCGAGACACCTGGGATCAATCTTGGGCAAATTTCTTTACGCCACAGAGCCTAATAATATTCCCTCCAAAACAAAACAATACCAACAATTGGTCATTTTCAATCCATTGCTGTGCGCAATTGGCTGCTGCGTTCGCCCACAAATATACAGTCAATTCACTTTACAGTGTATTCTGTGAAGCGGTTTGAGACATCTAGAAGACGTGAAAAGTGCTGTATCAAATGCAAGGATTATTATTATATTATAAATTATAATCCTTGCATTTAATGAAGCGTCTTTCATTTCAGGACATCTCAAAGCCCTTCACAGGATTTATTGTAGAAGCGCTCTTAACAGTAGGAGCCAATTTGCGCATAGCAACGTCCCCAAACAGCCGTGAAGCGACTGACCCGTTTTTTCTGGGGGGGGGGGGGTTGTCGGCAGCACAGCAAGAGAGGGAGAAATTCCCTTCTCTTTGTAACCACATTTAAGAGAGAAGTAGATAATTATTTGGGGAGGACAAGTTTGCAGGGCTATGGGGAGAGAGCGGGGGAGTGGGGCTGATTTTGATCGCTCTTTTGAAAGAGATGATGGGTCGAATGGCCTCCTTCTGTGCCGTATAATTCCATGATTCTTTGAATAATATAGGGGGGGGGGGGTCAAACAAGGCTCTGCTGTACTGTAGTAACAGCGGTCAGTCAGCAGAGGACGCCACATACACAGCCTCCTTGGAGATTCCTTCATCCCATCCAATAGCTACGAATCTTTCCAAGTTCCTTAACAAGAGAAAAACATGTGTCCGATTCCCTTCTAAAGACGTGAGGCAAACCAGCTTCAAAATAGAGTGACGCTTTGGTGACTGTGCAAAGCACCGTTCAACAAACAGGGCAACGAGTGACCCATCTAATTTGGGGGATTGTCGTCCAGGACACCCGGAGAGAGAGAGAGAGAGAGAAACTCCCTGGTGATCCCTTCCCAAATCACCGTGGGATTCTTGAACATCCTACCGAACAGGCACAGATGGGAACTCGGTTTTTAACGTCTCACCTTCTCGAAACCCACTTGAGGTTTCTTTGCGCTACCCCCGCAGGAATCGCTTCCTAACCTGGAACGCCGCTCGCCTCCCTTCCATTACTCCCGCACTTACCGGCTGCATTGAATCGCGGGAAACGTGGTTGCAATCCCGGTGACACTTGAGCAGGAGAACTTAATTTCCCGCGATTCGAGGCGATTCCAACCCTTGCCGGCAAGCGGGGCACCTGGTGACGGGTCAAGACGCATCGCCGCACGGGAAAACGTAGCCTCGATCTGTCTCCCCGTGCAGTTTTACCGGCTGCACTGATTAACGCGTGCTCAGCGTAGATTATCTCTTAAATCGGATTTTGTGCGATTTGTACAGTTTGCCTACAATTAGGAGTTCAGGCAAGTCACGTGAAACGCTCTGGTCCCGACTGATATCACTTGCGTGAATTTTACTTGCCCCCCCCTCCCACCACCACCCTTTGGAACTCCATCCGACATTCTCTTCGCCTTGCTCCTTCCCTCCCTCCCTCCATCGCCTCCTTCGAGACCCGTCTCAAGACCCTCCTCTTCGACCGGGCCATCGGCCACCCTCCCAACCTCCGCCCTTCCCCGATCCCAACACCTCGCCCCAGCTCGGGTCCAAACCCCTGAGCGTCCAGCACATTGGGCCATCCTCCTGATGTGAAAGGCATCGTGTAAATTTAGGACAAAGAAACGCAAAGGCATCAAAGCCAATATTATTAGATGCAATAAAAGACTAACAGGCACATCGCATCGCCTCGCACACACTGCAACAGGCTCACGGTGGCAGTGAGTTCACACGGCTAACGGCACTCACTTCTACACCTGGCACAGCGGCTCCGGTCGTACTCGATCAGCTCGGTGCGCTTGACGCGCTCCCCGACCCCCGCCCGGTTCTTCTCCTGGCGTAAACGGGCCGCTTCCTCCTTAGCAAACACCCCCAAGTCCTGGGTGTAGCGGCCGTACATCTAGAGAGAGGGAGGGGGAGAGAGAACGAGCACAGGTAAGACAACAGCGGGCAAAGACGGGGGCACGGGGGGGAGTGGCAGAGGGCGCAACGTCCCACAGACCAACTCTGTCTCCACCCATCCCATCGCGTTCTCCCTCCCCCACCCCCATCAGATCACTCTCCTCCATTTCTCTCTGGTCCACATACCCACTGTTGGTGCTCTCACCCGAAACAAACAACCGCCAGACATTCCAGACGTAGGGCAACTTCCACCCACGTGTGGGGAAGATTATATAATGATAACAATAATAATGATGCTTGCATTTGATACAGCGCATTATTGCATCATTGGGTCGTCTCAAAGCGCTTTACAGGATATACTGTAAAGTGAATTGACTGTATATTTTGTGGGGGAAACCCTGCAGCCAATTGCGCACAGCAGTGTCCCACACACAGCAGTGGATTGAGTGAACAAATTCATTCTATTTATTTTGATGGGATTATTATTCCCAGAAAGTGATCTGCCAATCGACTAACAACTGGGTTCGTACGTACTGCTGGGTAAACTGGGGCGTGTGGAGTAAGGAAACTTGCCTACGGTTTTGCCCTGACCCACCTCGGAATCGAACCAGCGGTCCTTCTCGCTTGCGAGGCGAGGTCGCTAACCACTACTCTAACTGGATTCCACGCTATTCTGTTGTGTTTGGTTTGGAGGCTCTTAAAAGCAAAGCAGTGATGGGATTCCGCGCGTGTCAGACGCCCGGCTAAGCCAAACATCCGAGCAACAGCACCAGATGAAGACTCAAAGTTATTGCAGCAGTTAATTACTTGTACATCGTGGGGAGGGCGGAGGGAGGGAAGCACAATTTTAGGCATTTTTTTGTAAAAGTGACCAGAGGTCAGAGTCACTGTAAACCAGGAAACCCACTCAATGTAGAGAGGCATCTGGGAAAAGAATAAGTGGCGATTAAGTTATTTGTGTAACGTCCCCTCCCACCTTCCTCTGTTTACCCCCCCCTCCCTCTCCCTCACAAGCTGAAGGTGAGAGACAACACTTATATAGTGCGTCTGCACGCGTGGCAGAGAGGACTTTGTTTGTCTCTCTCTCTCCCTCAGTGTCCTGGCCAACAATCCCCCAAATAAAATCGGTCGCTCGCTCCATGGCTGTTTGGGGGACACTGCTGTGTGCAACTGGCTGCCGTGTTTTGCCCCCAAAATACACAGTCTCTACCCTTTACAGTATATCCTGGGAAGCGCTTTGAGATGCTCAGCGGTGTGATAAATCGAGAGGTTGGTCGGGAGTGTAGTGACTGCTTGTTGGGCTTTTTTCCCACCGGAGCAGAGATGGAGAGGGGACGTGATTGAGGTCTTCACACCTGCGGAGGGGAAGCTTTGGGCAAACAGGGCATAAATTGTGCTTTTGTTGGGGGCGGGTGGGGTAGGATTATTGGAGGGGGAGGAATGATTAGAAGGAATTTCTTCACTTAGAGACTAAGTGAAGTATGAAATTAATTAGCTCTCTCCTCCCCTCCGAATGCCTAGCGAGTTCGGTTTCAATAGAAATGCTCAATATAGGGGATTAGCATCTTAGCAAAAACTATAAAGGTGTTTGGGATGGAGAAAGAGGGAAAAAAATTACATTATCTATGTTTCACCCCTTCCCCCTCATTCCCAAACCTCTTCAGCTCCCTGTCTCTCTTCCTCACCATCCCCAACCTCTCCCAACTCAACCCCCTGGGATCAGGTGCCGGCTTTGAGACATCGATACGATTCACAGCGACACTGTTCAACGCACAAGTGAACATCCTCTCGCTCTTTATTCACAGTGTTGAGATGGAGTTTCTCTCTCCCATTGTCCCTGGCCAACAACCTCCCCCAAATAAAATTGCTCACGGCTGTTGGTAAGATATTGCCGGGCGCAAGTGGCTGCAGCGTTTCGCCCGCGAAATATCCAGTCATTCCGCTTTGCACTGTATTACACTATATTTGAGACGTCTAGAAGACGTGAAAAGCGCTACATCAAATGCAAGGATTATTATTACATTCTGTGAAGTGTTTCGAGACGGCTCGACGACGCGATGAGGCGCTGTATCAAATGCAAGGATTAGGTTCGTTAACTGCGTTGCCGAGTTTTGCCCGCAAACACGCAGTCACTGCATTTCACACTAATTCCTGTGAAGCGCTTCGAGTGACATCCTTCCGACATGATAAGGCGCTGCATCAAATAAGAACATAAGAAATGCTGGATGGCGAAAAGGCCAAGGTCCATCTAGTTGGCCCTCCAGCTTCCTGGCGGTTGTATGTACATACGTCCCGAACTATTTATGTGCTGTAGCCCACAATGTTATTTCCCAAAAGAAAACTATCTAATCCGCGTTTGAAGAACGCAACAGTGAAATGCAACGATTATTATTATTATTATTACACACACACACGTTCCCGATCGCTCATCCCACACTCACCGTGTGTAAGCCCACCAGTGCTGGTGCCTTCACCACGCCGGCATTCCTGAGGAGCCGGTCAGCCCAGGAGCTGGTGTTGGAGTCGGAGTCGGTGCCGGGCTGGGCGGGGGCTGCGGCGGGGTGGGAGGGGGCAGAGGAGAGGGAGCGGCATAGTGACCGGAGCCGTGCTCGCTCGTTCGCTCGCTCACTCGTAGTGGAACGAGGAGAGACCAAACGCCCAGCACTCCTGTCCCGCTCACAATGATCAGCGACCGACCAGTAAAATAAAATATAATAATAATAATAAAAAAAACACAAACCCTCGCCCACAGCCCACTTGGTGACTTCCTGCAGATAGCAGGCGAGCAGCAATAAGCACTAATCTCATTTCCTAGTGCACGTTTGTGAACTTAGAGTGAAATACAGCCCTTTGTGTGTCGGAATTTGTCTTGGCCGGTGAACAATGAAAGCCACATGGGATTCCCAGGGGGTGTCGCGTTTATTGGCGACGAAGGGCTCGTGGAGAAGTGGGGGCTGGTGGGGGTGGGGGGGGGGGTGAGGAGGGGGCTCGTTCAAAAGATTTGGCTCCAATAATAAAAAGGGAGAGGGAGGAGGTAGGAGGGGAGGTGGTTGGGGGGGTTCTCTGGGGAATGACAGGGAGCAAGGCGTTCCACCCATAATTAACCTCCTGCCCTGGGATACACACACGGACACACACACACACGCACGCACGTGAGTAGAGAGGCAATGGTTTGAAAAAGGCCGTTTTTTTTGGCTAAATGGTCCGTTTTTCCACATCGTAGCTAAAGTGTCACCATTGATCCATCTTCACCTCTCTCCTCTCGCCCCCCCCCCCCCCCCCCTTCCCCTTCTCAGCCCGGTTAAAGTCACTGTTTATTTTTCGGGATGGCCTTCAAATATGGCCAGAAATTTGGGGGTCCAGGACTTGGGGCCCAGCCCGGAAAGCGGTTTAGATGCATTTCGGCAAATTTCTGTCCGCTCTCGCTCCCCCCTCCTCCCCCCCCCGCCCACACCTCCCCCCCCTCTCCGGGTGACGGGTGTTGAGGGGGGGGGGGGGGGGGCATAAGGGCTGTGATCTGCCCATCTTGGATGGTACCAAAACCAACACGCATCCACACAACACGTTTCACGTCAGGAGGATGTCTCAAAGCGCTCGATAATGCTGGCTGGTGCGAGCCGAGAGACGGGGTGAGATGTCTCCTGACGCCGCCAATCCCCCCACCCCCGTAGCACCCACACACGCGCGCAATCTGTCCCACAATGCGAGCCAACGAGATCACAGACTGAAGACGAGAAGGCGGTCAAAGGCACAAACAAAAACGAATGGAGCCAGACTTCCTCAGTGGAGCTTTTCCCAGCTCTGCCCTCGATTAGCTGCCCCCACACCCACCCCGTCTAATATCGCAGGCTCCGTCTGCTAATTAATGGGATTACATCTCTGGCTGCCCAAAGCAGTGAGCCACACATCACTTTGCTCTCGCTGAGGTCACCGTGAGTTTGAACAGGGGATGGGGAGAGAGGGAGAGAAAGAGAGATAGACAGAGAGAGTGAGAAAAACGGAGAAAGAGAGAGAGAGAGAGAGAGAGCGCACACTTCTCAACCTTTGGGTGAAGCTGATGTGATTCCTATTGAAAGGCGTTACTAAATCCCAACTCAAGCCTCAAATCGCAAGCACAACAACAACAACATAGGCTCTCGTGGTCGTAAGCTAAACTTTTCTTTAAAACTGAAAAATGTTTAGATGGGAGTGATCGAACTCTCGCTCTCCGAGAAACACCAGCTGATCTGATCTCAATGAGCAGCTTTGGTCAGAGGGTAAACTTTTAACAGGGTATAAGCAAGTTCAGTCTCTTCATATCTCTTCCCCCCTCCTTCCCCTTCACCCCCAAGGTCAAGAACGCCACCCGTCCTTCGGAAGTTAAACCGAGCGCCCATCTGTGCCGTTTAGGTGGACCTTGATCATAATAATCCTTGCGTTTGATGTAGTGCCTTATCACGTCTTTGAGACGTCTCAAAGCGTTTCACTGAATATACTGTAAAGTAATTGGATATTTTGTGGATGGAACGCGGCAGCCAATTGCGCACAGCAGCGTCCCGCAAAAGGTCACGGATTGATTGACCACATTTTTTTTTCTTTGACCTTAACAATTCTGGGGCTCTATTTGGAAAGAGAAGGGAGTTTCTCTTTCTCTCTCTCTCTCTCTCTCTCGCGCGCGCGCGCGCTCTCTCTCCCCGTGTCCCGGCCGACAATCCCCTCCTTCCCCCACCCCGCCACGCCCCCCGCGATTAAAATCGGTCGTTTATTCCACGGCTGTTTGTGGGATGTCCACCAGGTTGAGATACAATCAGGTTAATGCGGGATTAGATAGACATCAATAAAACTCTTCCACGTCATAAGAGTCTATGGGGTCACCAAACCCTTATTGTGAGGTCAACAGAAACTCAGCCGCTCACACCCTCACCTCCACCTCCCCTCCAAAATCAGGAGAAACTGGTCCTTGGTGAGGACAGGATTTCACACTCCGGCTTTCAGCTGAAGCGAATCCTGTGAGCGGCC